ATACCATATTTGATACTAAAGTCTGAAGCTGACTTAAAGCTGGATATGCCTAATTCTGCTTGCCGAAAGACTTATAAGATGCTGATAACTGAAAGATACATGAAGTATTCATGATATATCACTCTAGCTGTTCTTGCAAAATGTACTATTTTATCAATGGGTGGTGAAATTGATGCCTAAGAAAGTGAGGCGGGAATCACAGAACAGAAGCTGCCATTGAGAGGATTAATTAGGACTGTCAGAGAAGACGCTGGTCACTGTTTGATGTGTCTTTTTAATATGGAGCCTGAAAGCTGTCTCACAACATAAGAAGGCATTACAGTGCTTTGAATAACCCTAATCAAGCTTTGTTGGAACCATGAAGAATCTCTTCCAGCATGCTGTCTGCATATGTATATTCAATCAGCATGGAAGTGTGCAGCTAGGAGATGAAATATACATACGTTTCAAATATGGAAGACTAGTCTTTGGCATTGGGCCACCTTTCCAGCAGCAAAAATGATTCAAGAATTGGGGTTAAACTGGCAGAAGAGTTCAGCAATCATTCTATGCTTTTAAATGTATGTGAATCTAAAATTATATATTAGATATTGAAGGGTTAACCAAATACTCAATACATAACAAATGTCATGCCAGTTCTTAAAAAAGGGTTCAGAGAGATCTAGGAAATTAAAGGCCAGTTAACCTGACATCTGTTTCAGGTAAATTAATAAAAACAGCTATGAAAGAGAGAGCTATTAAGCACACAGAGGAACCAATCCTGCTGAGGGGAAATTAGCATGGTTTCTGCAAAGGGAAGTCCTGCTTCACCAACCTCTTGGGAGTTCTTTGAGCAGGTTAACAAGCATACAAATAAGGTAAACTTCATATACATGCATTTACAGAAGGCATTTGACAAGGTACGTTGCTGAAGACTCTTAAGCTTAGCAATCATAGAACAGGTCTTCTTATGGATTCAAAATTGGTTAAATGTCAGAAAGCAGACAACAAAAATAAATGGAGGGGAGCAAGTGGTGGGGTCCTACAAGGATTGGTATTGAGACCAGTGCTGTTTAATTTGTTCCTAAATTATTTGGAATTGGAGGTCAGCAGTGCTGTAGCCACTGATACCAAATGATTCAGGAGGGCAGATAATGAAGAGCTATACTGCAGGCTCTCTCTAAATTGGGTAAATGGCAATTGAAGTTCAATGTGTGTAAGAGAAATGAAATGCGTACTGGAACCAAAAAAATTCCTAATTTTAAACATATGATGATGGGGTTAGAACTGGCTGGGCTGAAAGATATCTTGGGATAGTGGTAGAAAACTCAATGAAAATGTCAACCCAGTGTACAACAGTGGTGAAAAAAGCAAACTCCATACTAGGAATTATTAGCAAAGAGGTTGAACATAAAACAGCCAATACTGTAAGACCCTTCCATAAAGTTATGATGCAGCCTCATTTGTGTGCAATTCTGGTCACCATATCTCAAAAAGGATATTAGAGAGTTAGAAGAAGTACAAAGGTGAGCAGCCAAAATAATTTGGGGGTTGGAACACCTTTCCTATGAGGAAAGGCTGGAGAGTCTGGGACTTTTCGGTCAAGAAAAAAGATGGCTAAAGGAAAACATGATATAGAGTTTTATAAAACACACGGTGGGGAGAAAGTAGATAGAGGGAGCTTATTGTCCTTCTCCCATATTACCAGAACTCAAGGGTTCCCAATGAAGTTGTTGGGAAATAGGTTCAAGACAGATAATGGAAATACCTCTTCATGTGTGAGTAATTAAACTATGGAATCCACTGCCAATGGACATAGTGATGGTTACGAACATAGGGCACTTTAAAAGGCATTTAGGAAGATCTGTGGAAGAGAGGTTCAGATACTAGCCAGGGTGACTAATGGGAGCCTCCAACCACAGCAGCCACAGAACTCTCAATACCAGTGCTGGAGGAAGCAGCAGGGGAAGGTCACCGCCTCTATGTCCTATTTGTTTTGCCATCCAGTGCAACTGGTTGCCTACTGTGTAAAACAGGACGCTGGACTAGATGGGGCACTGGCCTGATACAGCAGGTGCTACTTGTTATGCTGACTCTCCAAAAACATGGCTGAGGCAGCTTATAGTAACAAAAACAAATATTAAAAGATTATTAATTCCAGCATTAAAAAAGCAACCCCAGACCAGCATAAAACCGTAACAGACCACAGACAGCTTAAAACAACAGTTTCCACACCAGAATAGTGGTTTAAAAAACCACACACAAAAAACACCTTACCCCCTTAATTAAATGCCTAGGTGAACATGGTTTGGCAACATAAAGTACTGGATGAACCTCAAGGGTCAGGGCATTCTTAAGCCAGGCGCCTCTACCAAAAAAAGCCCTATCTCTGACTGCCACATACCTCTGAAAGTGGGGTGCAGACAGCAGGTCTTGTGAGGCAGATCTTAACTGGCAAGCTGGATAATACGATGAAGACAAAGAAAATTAATTGAATATAAATATACTCACCTTATTCAATGCATGACCAACATGTGGGTCTCCATTGGCATAGGGTGGTCCATCATGAAGACAAAATTCTTGTTTTGTTTTCCTTTGTCTTTGCCATGAATACAGTTCAGAAAAGCCACATTTCTACAGAAATATAATATCTTTATTCAGTATGACTATATACTGATAACATCTGAACAGTTAACATCTGAACTGTTAAGGCCCTCTGTTAACTTGAATAACAACAGCCAGCGTGATTCGACCCTATAGGATGCTACCGCCCATCAGCATTTTATCTTTTTATATGTATTTATATGTAGTTATGATTGCCATTTGTTGCATACTACGTTATTGCATTGTTTCAATGCATCTGTGTTTTACGTATTTTAAGCCACCCTGAGCCTGCGACACAAGGAGGGCGTGATATAAATTGAATACATAAATTAAATTAAATGTATTATTGACAAGCATTATGTGAATAGACTTGTTTTTAAAAAGACTTATTCCCACTTTTAAAATAAGATCCTACATGACAAATTTATGCTGATTTATACTGGTATAATAATAACAATATGCCATCAAGTCACAACCTACTAATTACATCCACAGGATAATGGGCTTTCAAGGCAAGAGATGAGCAGAGGAGGTTTGCTATTGTTGTCTTCAACTACAGTCCCAGTTTGGTTTGGGGCAAGGTCACTAATGTGGGAGAAACGGGTTTGATTCCCCACTCCTTCTGGGCTAATTTACGTTCCCTTGGATTGTGCCATGCTTGCTTTCTGCAGACTAGAATCCCATGCATCCTTACCTGGGAACCACAACAGGGCTTTCTTGGGAATACACGAGCGCATCACTGCACTTCAAGCCCATCCACAGTTATCTTCCCTATGAACAGCTTCGCTCCAGCTATTTGATTGTGGCACTCTGTACTCTACATAGTGGGCGTTTGTCTGAGGGGGGCTGATTATGAGTGAGCAACCCCAGAAAGCGCTCGACCGGGCTCGTTCCACCGCATCAGGACGCGCGTGTGCATGATACAACTCCCCTTCCCCTCGCTGCACGCAGCCATCCTCAACCCAACTCCCCCTATTTAAGAGACCACCATTCTCCTCCCCTCCCCTCAACTCTACCTGCTGTATCTCCAGCTCAGTTTCGGGCTGCAGCCGGCCGGGCAACTGAACAGGAAAATCGCTGCGCGGCAACAACACCGTTTCCCGGTACCTGGCATCCGGCCTCGGTTTTTTACTTCTGTTGGCCCCGGAGGAGGCCACCCAGCGAGCCCAGCACCAGGCACGCGGCGGGGACCGCACCACCGGCAATGCCCGCAACATTCTCCACACCTGGCCGATAAGCACTTCCGGGTGAGTGACGGCTAAAAGAGAACGCGTAACGGTCTCCGAAAGGGGACATGCCACGACACTCGCAGGCTTTGCAAGTTGGGGCTTGATTCTCGAGCTCCTCCTAGAGCTCAGTTCTCCTTCCTACACCCCGAGATGCCCGGTCGGGTGCAAAAGAGTCAGCCAGCCAGAATTTTAGGGCGCTAGAAAGTGCCGTGCTGCCCGGAGTGCCCGTCGTCTTCTGTCATGTTCTGCCTGGGAATGAAGTAAGCCCCCCCCCCGACATGTTTCAGTTTCTCGACGTGGAGCGAAGCCAGAATTTAGCAACCAGACTATAGAATGACAGCCGCCGCGTGAAATGTCCAGAGAGCCTTAAGAAAAACTGCACAGGAATAAGCCTGTTCTACGGGGATCCATCCCACTCCGGAGCGACTCCGTCTGCAGTGTATTAGTGTGCTTCCGGACACAACTGTCCTAAACGTAACCTAAGTACGTATCCATTTTCTAGCACGAAGCTATAGTGAACTCAGTCGTAACTCACTGAACTCAAGTGGATTAACTCTGCACAGGATTCAGTTTCACAACAAAACCGAAGCCCTGCCGCATTTATTATAGCTGGAATGATCGTCTATACTTACACACCTTGAATACTCAGAGCCGTGTGTACGCAGGAGTAATTTCAATGGAAAGTATTCTCTCATAGGTTGCAATCTTATGCACATTTAGATGCACGTTGAATTAAGCTGTATTTCCTTCTGCGTAAACATTCATAGGATCGGGCCGGTGGACTCCTAAGTAAATCCTGTGTACTTAGTCTCAAAGAACCGTGCATAAGAGTGAAGCCACATGCGCCTTTAAAAAAAATCTGAGGCAGTCAAAAATGTCGAGTTTCTCCACGCGACTGTTTTCCACGAAAGAAAGACCATGCATAACTAAACACCTTGAACAGCATGTTTCAACTCTCTAAAAGCAATCTTTGCTAGTGTTCTGCATCTGCAAACAGACCTAACTTGGCTACGATGGATAACCCACCTCACTACATAGTCAAAGCTAAACCTGCATGCAGTAAATATTTGCCTACTTCCAGCGATGGCTTCAAACTGAGAGGTAAAAAATGAGCCATGTACTTTAGGACCCAGTAGATGCCGGTGAAGAGGCGGAGGTTGGGCGAGGAGTAGAGGAAGTCATCGGAGGCTGGGGCTTGAAGAAATTAGCTCTTCGGCAAAAGTCTTGGTCTGTGAGCGGCGCTTGCAAGCTTAGGTACGTTTTCCTCGTGTCAAAATTTCCTCATCCCTTTTCAGTTTGTTTCATCGATAATGGCATGCATGTGAACATGCGGAAACTATAAAGATTGACGAAGGGGAGGAAATAAATGGGAACATGTAATTGTGCCTTCGGTGGACATCGCTAAGGCAGGAGGATTTCAAGATATATTGCTTATTTTTCATGAGCTGTCGGTGTGAAGCTTGCAAGATCACATTATTATAATTTAAATAATTTAGTTTCGGATCCCTACCATATTTTGATTTGGACATAAGTTATTAATGCGTGTGTGCATCTGTGAGCGTTGCAAGAAAGAAGAAAAGCAAACCCTTTCAACATTCTTATCTGCCCTTCATTACATTTGTAAAAGGTGGCTAAACTATGTTTAAGGAATGAGTAATCCATGTTAAACTTTGACTACGATCCTGTTCCCGTAACCACAGCCAGCCAGGAGCAGTATAAGGTTGGGCTTCTTTGACTATAGTCAGGTCTGTTGTAATTTTTGTTATTTCAACAACATTTCTGTTATTTCAACAAAAATTTTCAGAGCTGTTGCACAATGTCTGTGTGTGTTATAAGTGCCATCAAGTTATTTCCGACTTACATTGACTCTGAATTACTGACCTCCAAAACGTCCTATCGTTGACTCAAAACAATCCATCTCGTGTTGGGGCTTCCTCTTTTACTGCTACCTTCAACTTTTCCTAGTATCATTGTCTTTTCCAGTGAGTCTTAAATTCATAATGTGACCAAAGTTCAATAGCTTCATTTTGGTCATTTTAGCTTCTAAGGAGAGTTCAGGCTTGATTTTATCTAGAACCCACTTGTATGTCTTTCTGGCAGTCCACAGTATCCGTAAAACTCTCCTCGGACTCCATATTGCAAATGAATCAAGTGTCTTCCTTTCTGCTTTCTTCACTGTATGACTTTTGCATCCATACATAGTAATGAGGAATGCTGTAAAATGAGTTATCTCGATATTGGTCAGCAGCAACACATCCTTACTCTTAAGGATCTTTTCTAGCTCCTACAGGGCTGCTCTTTCCAGTCTCAATCTCCTTCCGATTTCTTGGTTGCAGTCTCCCTTTTGGTTGATGAAGGAGCCAAATTAATGTGATGGTCAGATAGTTGCTGCAGTCCTTGATGTCTCCTTTTTTCAGAATTGGAATGTAGATTGAATGTGTCTAGTCAGTGGGCCATTGTTTTGTTTTCCATACTTGTTTGGATAATCTTATTAAGATTTTGATGGACTCCAAAACAGCTCTACTGCTATCCCAGCTCCTCCTGGTGATTTATTTCTCCCAGTTGCTTTGAATGCAGCTTTCTTGTCACTTTCTTAAACTGTAGGTTCTTCTTCAAAAGTTTCTTCTTTGAAGAAATCTGTCATCTTTTCATCTCTTCTGTGGATTTCTTCAGTGTAAACTCATTATGGTACTGTTCTCTGCTTCACTGACACACACAGACCCTCCTCACCTTGTTAAGGTGTGTGTCCAAGAGGGGAGAGAGTTACAGTAGCTGATATTAAATTAATCTGGAATAAAATACAATCTGGTATAAGTATACTAAATAGATTCAGTTGTGTGGTGGTGGAAAGTGCTGTGAAGTCATAACTGCTGTTGAGGTGGTTTGGTTTGCCTGGCTCTGCATCACACTTTTGGTATTCCTTGGAGGTTGTCCTTCCAAATACTAGCCAGGGCTGCTCCTGTTTAGTTTCCGAAATCTGATGAGATCTGGCTAGCCTGAGCTTGAATTGGTGGTACTGAGATGTTATTCTTATCTGTTCTCTCTCACACAAATATTGAGAGAAGCCTTTTGGGGCTCACAGGATTGTAGCCCATGATGCTTAGGGTGAAATAGGTGATCTTATTGCTTTATTTTACAAAATGAAGGAGGTATACACTTTTTTGGAATTTTTTTAAGAAAAAGAGAAAGGACAAAGCAATGAAAATACTTAGCAAAAGTTGGGTTGTAATATGAGTCAAATAAGGAAGTGCCTCTTCAGAACAAAAGCAGTTTGTTGCATAAGTGGATCAAAGGTAAGAAATACCTCTGAGAATAAGGAGAAAAGCAAACAAAGTGAGCCCATGGAAATTTTCCTTTACAAAATAACAAAATTGCAAGCTTCTGTTGATGATCCAGATGAAGTGGTCTATGAATGTAGAGATGTGCCCTTTGCAACTATAAGTATCACTTTACTGCCCTTCTGCTATGTCAGCCAGGATAAGAGTGCAGCCCACCCACAAGCAGTACTGTGACCGTGGCAGTACAAAATGATGCACTAAGTGCATGGATATTTCCAATGGTGCCATTGCTGCTAAGGCATCAGTGGTATAGTGGGTGGACTAGGATCTGGAAGATCTTGACTAGAATCGAGAGGTTTGCTGGGTGATCTTGGGCCACTCATTCTCTCTCAGCCTAACCTACCTCATAAGGTTGTTGCTGTGAGGATAAAATGGAGGGAAGGAGAATGGTTCTGTAAATGGTTTTGGGTCTCCATTGGGAAGAAAAGCAGAGAGCCGGTTTGGTGTAGTGGATAAGTGTGCGGACTCTAATCTGAGAGAACCGGGTTTGATTCCCCACTCCTCCACTTGCACCTGCTGATGTGACCTTGGGTCAGTCACAGGCTCTGGCACAGCTGTCCTTGAAAAAGAGCAGTTTGTGTCAGAGTTCTCTCAGCCCCACCCACCTCACAGGGTGTCTGTTGTGGGGAGGGGAAGGGAAAGGAGTTTGTAAGCCGCTCTGAGACGCCAAGTGAAGGGCGGGGTATAAATCCAATCTCCTCTTCTTCTTCTTCTAAATGTATAAGTAACAACAGAGGATAGCCTACCTCTGTTACAATTTATTCTCCAAGTTTAATTTGTTCCTTTCCACTTGAAGTTCATTGTGCTACTCCTGTGACCTGTATTTGTTTCAGATAGCTGCTGGCTATGCCATTCACAAGACTCTTCTTGATTTCCCCCCCTCCCTTGTGCAGTAAGCATGGCTTCTAATACAAGTGTTCTGATGCGTCTGGTGGCTTCAGCATGTTCGGTTGCTAACAAAGCAGGAACAATTGTCAGGAAAGTGATGGCTGGTGGAGACTTGGGCATAGTGGAGAAGGTAACGAACTGTATTGATGGATGCTTGTATAATTTTGCTTGTAAAGATCTGAGCTTCTTTTGGTATAAATTCTGCCAACATCAGACAAGTGAAAGAAAAATGCTGGTTGTTTTGACAATTCTAAATCTTCTGTAAGTGTCCAATGTGTCTGCCTGTCCACCATCTAGATTTAATGGCAACTGGTGTAGTGGTTAAGTGTACAGACTCTAATCTGGGAGAACCGGGTTTGAGTTCCCACTCCTCCACTTGCACCTGCTGATGTGGAATCAGTGACCTGCCATTGTGCCTTTGACACCTCCTTAGTTTGTGCCATTGACACCTCCTTAAACTCCTTGTTCTCTTATTGCATCATATGTGCTGCCAAAGCTAAGATTAGACATGCAAAACACATCCCAGGGCCAGTGTGCAGGTGAACCCTATGCTGATCCCAAGCACCCACTGTGGTGCTATTGCAATTATCTCCAAAGCCCTAATAGGACTGTAGCTGTCTTTTTGGAAGGGATTATTGTTGTGTATCTCCTGGCTGAAACCAATTTTTATTCATCCCTGGCACGCCAGTGAATGGCTAACTACACCTCAGCAGCAGCAGCATTTTGATTTATATACCACCATCCCGCTGCATGGGGCTCAGGGTGGTTAACAACAATTGACATTCCAATGAATACAGTAAATCAATACATTCAAGTTAAAAGTCTAAAACAATAAGACAGCAATAATTAAATCTGATCAGATGGTGTTTGAGCATTAGAAGTCCTTTCCCGAAGAGGAGGAGATGGCGAGGCCATGCTTGATGGTGAACTGCTGCTGTCTTCAACCATAATAATGGGAAAGGACATAACAGAGAATAGTATAGCGCGTATGTTTTGTGCGCAGAATGACTTGTGGTTCATCGTCATCCCCAGTTAAATGGATCCCAAGTAGTGGATGGGAAGGAATATTGTGTGCGATCTTAAAAGAGCTGTGGGTTGTCAGAGCAGGCAGGAGCAGACTAGATAGGCCAGTGGTCTGATTCCTTACTAGGGTGCTAACAGACCTGGAGAAATATGCTCTGTCCTTTTAATAGAGGCTTAATGTATGGAAACAGGTCCTTTTCATAGCATGATGGTAAATAAAAACACCTGACAAATAACATCCTATTGAATGTCTACTAAAGAGACAAAATAAAAACACCTGACAAATAACATCCTACTGAGTGTCTACTAAAGAGACAAAACATTTCCCTCCTCCCAGGCAGATTGCAACCCTACTCCTTATACCACAGCTTCCTGTGCTGAATGTTATACTGGGGTTCTGGCAAACTCATTTTAGAAAGTGCTTGCGCATTCCGTCAGTGTACAAAGTATTTATGTCTTTGCCAATACTTGTGCATGCTTTGCATTCATTTCTTCCCTGTTTTGTTTCAGGACCTGGAGTCTAACTTTGATTTACATTTTCTCATACCTTATCACAAATAGCTTCTATGTGTAATCTTTTTAATCTTTTTATTGAAACCAGAAACTTTAACTGTGTACAGATTAGTGGACAAAGCAAAAAAAAAATTGTGCACAAGGCCAAAAATGAGTAACTTATTATTTGAAAAGGAAAACTGGCATGGGGCAGTGTAGCTTAAACCATTTACTAGGCACCATCTAGCCAACAGGATAAAGACTAACTAGATCCTAAACTAGCCAAATGTGATACTGATGATCATGCCCAGAGACTCTGGAAATGGCAACAAGCAGTGGCTTAAAGCAGTTTGTGCTTCATTGCAACAAAAAATTAGAATGAGGTCCTTGCTTAAGACAGCCTGCTGGAAGCGGATCTTCTCTATTAATGGCTTCGTTCTTGTTTGTTTCATGGATAACTGAAGCTGTGAAAAATGTGCCTGAGAGAGAAGATCAGTATAAATGGTATGAAGATCTTTTGCGGGTGTGTGTGTGTGTGAAGGAGAATATGTGGTATTGTCCCTTCCCTTTTTCCTTATAAGCCTGTGAGGTAGGTTGGGTTCAGAAACAGTGACCTGCCCAAGGGTTCTCAAGCTTCAAGTCAGAGTGGGGATCTGAATGCAGGTCTTCCCAGGTTTAACTGCTGCACCACACTGACTCACTGAATACCTGAACATCTTTTTTCAAAAAGAGAAATAGTCCTCATGGTGTTGTTAGGCCCCAAAGGTCCCTTTTCTGTGGCCTTCGCTCAGATGACTACATTTCTTCCTCTGGTGTTCCTGCAATCATTCTTTCCCACCCCATTATCGTGCTACTTCTTGCAGATCTTTATTTTAGTTCGTAAAATTTTGAATTCATGAATCAGAATGAAGTCTGCAAAATAAACTTTGCAGTTATTGTCTTATCTACAATCTAGGAGGAACATAATTTGGATTTTTAGAACAACAAGAACCACACCCTCTCCAGCAGTGCACAGAATTAGTGAAAATTTACTTGTCACAGGCCTGAAATCTGAGAACACATGAGCTTATAAAGAGGCCTTATGCAAAGTCAAACCCCTAATCCATCAGTGTTGTCTACTCTGAATGACTATGGATCTCGAGCGCAGATAGGAGCGCCTGCTTCCCAGGATCTTTTAGCTGGAGGGTCCAAAGACTGAACCCTAGGATCTCCTGTGTGCCAAGCACACGCCTGGCTGGTGAGCCACAGCCCTTCCCATTATTGATCCACATCTCAATTGTAAATGTTTGTGTCTAAGAAACAATACCTAATGAATAAGGAAAAATAGTTGAATTGACATTGCCTGTTCTATTTTATCTAGGGCAAGATATTTCTAATCAATCTTGCCATTAGTGCTCGAAAAGAAAATTATCCAAGTATCTCAGAAGGAAAAGCATAAGGCATATGCTCCAACTTTTGCATCCCCATGGCAAATCTTGGGGGCATGTTAAAGCACAGAAATACAAGATTAAAATTCAGGCATATAACAAAAGAAGCATCAAATGTATGGCTATATCAACATGGCCCCATCAGTGGATACTTAAATCCAGAGATAAGCCATGAGTAGATAAGACAGATCTTTCTGCAACCTGAGGAAAACCACAAGTTTGTAGAAAAAGCTAAACTCTTTCTACATGATCTGTATCATTGCTATGAATATCAACTTATTGATTTCCCTTCCTAATAGTGTGGAGCGAATGACCTGCAGACTAAAGCAGACCGACTGGTACAGATGAGTATTTGTTCCTCCCTGGCACGGAAGTTCCCAAAGGTGGCAATTATTGGGGAAGAGGTGAGGACTCTGCAGTTTCCCTTTGTGCTTTACACTGATCATTTGTTTAGTTACATACACTACCTGTTTGTATCTGCTGATTTTGGAACATAAAAATCTATATGGTTAGTCAGGGGCCCCTCTCATTGTGAGGGTTTCTTCCATAAGGCCTGCAGTTGTGGAGAACTGCGTGCTTCTAAGTAGGGACAGGGGCTATGGTGGGATAGAAATCCCACCCCACTATGGGTGTCTTGCTTGTGCTAATAATTTGTGGCATGCTGAGCCCATGTCGTTTACCTTATAAAAGCTTCCCTGTCTAGCTTCTTAGATGTAAGTAGGTGAGTTCCTATTTACTAGCTTGGGTGAGTGTTGTTGACTCTGCATGTGTATATCTTTTAAAATCAGGATCTTCCTTCTGAAGAGGTAAATGAAGAACTGCTTGAGGATGGCCAGTGTGAAGAGATACTGAAGAAAGCATGTCCTCCTCAGTATAATGCCATCAAAGAGGAAGAGGTATTACTAATGATCAAACTGTTTCAGTATGATCGGCCCATACTGCTAGTTTTCTGCTGAATGTGCCACTGCTACCATTGGATTCACAGCTGAGGAATCCAATAAGTGTTAAGTTATTGCTGAGAGACTTTTAGGAGAAGGTTGAAACAAAAAGAAAGTGAAATATAACTGCATGTTGTGCAAATGTACAAAATATAGTATACTAGAAATAAGGCCCGTTGTGGAAATAAATACAACGAGCTCTAGAAAGAAGCTCTGGGAAAGAGCAAAGGCCTTGGGCACTCAGCATCAATTTGCTGTGGTGGCGACAGCAAACCCCAATGTGGTGGCGACACCAAACTCAGAACGCCAATGGAGTGCTCAGGTACAACTAGAAAAGAATCAGCACGATAGTAGTCCACATGTCTGAATACATGGGAAAGGTGGGGGTGAGGAGAATATGATGCAACAGGAGAGAGAAAGGGTGGGGGGATGATGCAGAGGTAACCAGCAGCACCTGGGAGGGGGAAATTGCATCACCCTACTTGCACATCTCAATCCAAAAAACAGCTGTTTTATTGTAACTCTTGGTTGATGACACACACATCCAGAGACATTGGAAATTTTATACCAGAAAGCAACTCCTGGTCTGGATTTATATATTAACTTCTGAATGTGTGACATTTTGAAATAATATATATGAATGACCACTGAGGAAGGCACTAGAGGCCAAAATGCATGTGGTCTTGTTGGTAACCTATATATATATAAAAGAAAGTCCCCTCACCGTAAAATCAATGCCCAGGCCAAACCGCTGGACCTAGAAACACCAAATTCGGGGAGAGCGCACCTACCATGACGTAGGTGCTCACTAAGAAGGGATTTTTAGAAATTCGACCCCTAAGGGGGTCAAAAGGGGTAAAATGTGCTCCCCCCCATTGATTCCTATGTGGCTGCCAGGCTGCTGCCTCCTTGCACCCCCCACCCTCTGATTGGTCAGCTCCGGAGCTCAGTGTTCTGAGGTAAAAAATCCAACAGTTACAGGAGACTGCAGACAGCTAGTGACAGTTGAGGAAATCAGGAATGGCCAACAACCACCTGTGAGGTGCAGTAATACTGCTGGCCCAGCCTCTCTGATGTCTTCCAATACACTCCCCCCACCTCCTACACCTAACATGCGGTTGTCTGTCAGGTTGAGACGTGAATCCCAACTGTTTGTCTCCTACGCACCAGCAAGGCTGGGGACTCGCATCACGGCTCAGCGCCTCTCAAGGTGGATTGCGGGGCTCATCCACCTCTGCTACCTGATTGCGAAACAGCCATTGCCTGGCCTGATCTGGGCCCATTCAGCCCGAGCTGTTGTTGCTTCCACTGCCTTTCTCCAGGGAGTTTCCCTAATGGACATATGCAAAGCCGCTACATGGGCCACGCCTAATACCTTCATAAGGCACTATGCCCTAGACGTCTGTAAGAACTCTAATACCAACATGGGACGTCGCATTCTATCTTCGGCTACGCAGTAAAGGACCTGCCAGCACCCTCCTCCAGGTAGGCCACTGTGGCCCAGCCTCTCTGTTGGCTTCCAACACACTACCCCCACCTCCTACACCTAACAGGTGGTTGTCTGTCAGGTGCAGCAGCAGTCGCAGGGTGCTTAAAGCCACGAGGGAGCCTGCCCCAGCAGTAACACCTTAGTGATCCTGCCAGCCCCACTTCCACAGTGGCTTCTAATACTCTTCCCCCCTCCTACTCCTACACTGGACAGGCAACTGCAGGAGGCGGCAACTTAGGAATGCAGCAAAGACATCTGCACATAGTACTCCTGTACTATGAGTAGTACTCTTTCATACCACCTTGTCATTCCTGCACTTGGAATAACCATGCAGGCTCTTCCTTGCTGCTAGTAGAATTTAAATATTCTTGACCTGTATTTCTTTTTGAAAATCTCTGGTTTTACTTCTTTTTAAAGCTTGTTGTATGGGTTGACCCACTGGACGGAACCAAAGAATACACTGAAGGTTTGTTTGTTTGTTTGTGTCCTTATATGCACTGAGAGTTTTATTATTTTGAATGAGCACAATGCAGAATGTATCTGGAATATTCAATTTTAACTTTTCATGCATAAACATATCATCCTTTAACTAGGCAGGTAGAGGTTATGATCAATGTTCCCTCTAAGCTGTGGAGTCTTGTGAGCAAAAATTCTAATTCGTGAGCTACTGGCATTAAAATTGTGAGCGAATGATTTGGCTACTGCATAAATTACATTGCTCTGGAGCCATCCTTCCTGAGCTAAGACAAAAATCTGTGAGCTGAAGGCTAAAAAACTGTGAGCTAGCTCACTCTAACTCAGCTTAGAGGGAACACTGGTTATGATCACTTGAAGACTTAGATTGGTTTTGGTAGTACAAAAGAAACTGCACTACAAGAGGAATGATCAGTTTGGTAACTAACAATGTAGCTCTAAACAGAGTTGCACCTTTCTAAGTATTTGGAAGGCTTAGAATGGTGAGTCTCTGCTTAAGAATTTGCTGTTTTTCATTCTATTCTATTGTGATTAAATTCCACCATGACCTTGTTTGTCATTGAAGCAAGAAATCACATGGGTGACTTTCTTTGTTGGAAGCAGGGCTATTTTGGGGCAGGAACGCACAGGAACGGAGTTCCGGCTGGCTCCCAAGTTGGCCACGCCCAGCAGGAACTCATTAGCATAATAGGCCACACCCAACAGCAGAAGCTCATTCGGATTGGCTACAATTAGGGGTATGTGGCCTAACATGCAAAAAGCCCTGGGTTTTGACAACAAACAAGGTAAAGAGAATAAGAAGCAAAAGGTGGGTGTGGCTGGATGACCACACTTCTGGTAACGTGGGTGTGTGGCCTAATATGCAAATGAGCTGTGCTCCCAGGGGTGTGGCCTAATGTGCTAATGAGTTCCTGCTGTTGGGTATGGCCTATTATGCTAATGAGTTCCTGCTGGACTTTTTCTACAAAAAAAGCCCTGGTTGGAAGTCATTTTTGTTAAGTGGTTGCTGTGCCAGTGAGAACGATAGTCCATTGTATTAGCCTCTTGCAGGTAAACCATACAGCCCTGATGATGCAGCCTGCAGACTTGGGCTAATTCCACTATCCTGAAAGTCTCTTGAGAGTTAGGTCTGTCAGGTCCCAACTAAGGAACTACGACTTCTCTAAAGGCCACTGGAAACAACAGTGCTGTTGGGCAGGTGGCTGCTTAGATGTGATCCAGTTGATTACTACTTGGACATGAACATCCTAGGTAATTTAGAGCAGAGCATCATCTTTTAATAAAGCCTGCATTGTGGGATTGTTGTGAAGACAAATAAAGAAGGGGGGAAAACTACCAATCATTTTGTGTACAAGTATAAAAGGAATAACCAAAATAGAGGATTTTGGGTTTTTTACATGGCAAATGATGCAGCCAGCAGCCTCTTTCTCTCTGTCCACATCTTTTAGGTTGGGAAGCCAGATTGCTGCAAAGTGGTGATGGGAGAAATCAGGCCTGTTTTAGCTCTCCCTGTTTATGAATCTGCCAGCATAGAGGATGAATTATATATGAATTAGGAGACACCCAGGGTATGCATCAGCAGAACAATCAGGGGGTCATTTCCTTCAGGAGCGCACAGGAGCAGAACTCCAGCAGCAAAGAGCCCAGGGGGTGGGCACATGCAACAAGCCCC